CTGGTGGCAACCAAAGAGCCCCCAGGGGCACCCAAAGAGCCCCCATCGCCAACCCCTGGTGGCACCCAAAGAGCCCCCTCCCTGACCCCCGAGTGGCACCCAGAAAGCCCCCAGGGGCACCCAAAGACCCCCTTCCCAGCCCTTGGAGGCACCCAGAGAGCCCCTTTGCTGGCCCCCTCCACGGTGGCAACAAAAGAGCCCCCTCCCTGACCCCTGGGTGGCACCCAGAGAGTCCCCAGGGGCACCTAAAGACCCCCTCCCCAACCCCTTGTTGCACCCAAAGGGACCAGCTGGGACGTTGAGTGCTTTTCCAGCATTTCCCCCAAATTAGCAACCCTCAAAAACCCAACCCTGACAAATCCCCGTCCCCGGAGCTGCCTTTCACCCCCCGCGTCTTTTTAACGACGCTAAACCCCATTTATCTCTTTCCCGGGTCCCTGCCCTCGTTAATGAGGCCGTGTGGAGAGAAAAGTCAATTATTTTGGGGGGGCTGGTGTGGAGGCGAGTGGATTTCTGGTGGGTTGTGTGTTAAAAGGCGAAGGAATATTGTCAGAATTCCTGCTGGAAACAGAGCTGGGATTTATTTACCTGCCTGGCAAAAAAAAACCACCAGGTGTTTGACAGGTCACCAAGAGGTGGCAGCAGGATTTCTGGGTGGACTTTGAGCTTCTGAAATGGTGCCTTCTGGCAAGGAAAGGGGGGGGAATAATGGATGAACAAAGGGAGGGTTTGCGTGGTGCAGAGCTTCTCCCGTTGGCTGCTCTCTCCGGAGGGTGTTTTTGGGGGTGCCAACCCCCTGAGCACCCTCCCCGTGGGCTGGGGAGGCAGGGTGAGGGTGCTGAGCTCAAGGGTGATGGTTCTTGCTCTGGGATCGGAGGTGCCCAGAGGAGTACTGAGGTCCATGAGGTCCAGCTGTGCCGCCCTATGGGCACATCCAGCTGTGCAGTCCATTGGGCTTCTGCCCCACTGCTGGTGGTGGCCCAAAGGAGTACTGAGGTCCATGAGGTCCAGCTGGGCATCCCTACGGGCACATCCAGCTGTGCAGTCTGTTGGGCTTCTGCCCCGCTGCTGGTGGTGGCCCGGAGAAGTACTGAGGTCCATGAGGTCCAACTGGGGAGCCCATTGGGCTGCTCCCCTGTGGCTGGTGGTTGCCCAGAGGAGTACTGAGGTCCATGAGGTCCAGCTGTGCCGCCCTATGGGCACATCCAGCTGTGCAGTCCATTGGGCTTCTGCCTCGCTGCTGGTGGTGGCCCGGAGAAGTACTGAGGTCCATGAGGTCCAACTGGGGAGCCCATTGGGCTGCTCCCCTGCCGCTGGTGGTTGCCCAGAGGAGTACTGAGGTCCATGAGGTCCAGTTGGGCATCCCTATGGGCACATAGAATCATAGAATAATATGGGGTTGGATGGGACCTCTGGAGATCATCAAGTCCAACCCCCCCATCGGAGTGGGTCTACCTAGAACATCCAGCTGTGCAGACCGTTGGGCTTCTGCCTCGCTGCTGGTGGTTGCCCAGAGAAGTACTGAGGTCCATGAGGTCCAGCTGGGCATCCCTACGGGCACATCCAGCTGTGCAGCCCATTGGGCTTCTGCCCCGCTGTTGGTGGTTGCCCAGAGAAGTACTTAGGTCCATGAGGTCCAGCTGGGCAGCCCATTGGGTGGCTCCCCTGCCGCTGGTGGTTGCCTAGAGGACTGAGGTCCATGAGGTCCAGCTGTGCATCCCCATGGGCACATCCAGCTGTGCAGTCCGTTGGGCTGCTGCCCCACTCCTGGTGGTTGCCCAGCTGGGGAAGCAAGACCCTCCCAAGGATTTCTCCAACCCAGCCCAAGGCCAGCAGGTCAACTTAAAGAGCTGGGCTTGTTGTCACTGGCTTCTCCTGGTTCCAATGCTTCAGGGCTGGCAAATATTTCCCTTCCAGGACTTATTCCCTGGGGGCGAGCGGAGGTTTCAGCCTGGATTAGCAGAGGCTGGAAGGAGAATGATCCCAGGGCTGCTTTGTGCTGGGTGACTCAGGAGCTGCTGGATGGAAACCAGCAGCCTCAGACAGAACAAACTTTGTTTAACCCTTGTAGTGTTGGTGGGAACCATCCTCTGGACCTGTGAAAAGCCACGGCTGGAGGCGCCCGGGATTTCTGCCTGGATAAACTGTGGAATTTGGAGATGACATTTGGAGGGAGGGATTCTTTTTGGCTTGAGGTCAAAGTCCTGGAGGGTTGTGTCTGGTTAACCAGCTCCTCTCTTTAGAAGCTGTGGTAGGAAAAGTAGCTCACTCTTGTGCGACGTGATTTTCCTCCTCTCTCCCATGTCCCAAACGGGCCAGCTCCACGATGGCCAGGGATGGGGCATCTGCTGGTGCTTCCTGACCTTTAAAAGGTGGAAAAAAAGGAAAGAAAGAAGAGGTTTTTACTTTGAATTTGGAGCAATGTGTTAAATTTCTTTATAGTTCATTCCTAATTAAGCCTCTGTTGTTGTCTGCCTGGGACACGAGGTGACACGGAGATGTCCCTCCCGGGGGTGAGCTGCTGTTGACCCACCCGGGCTCGGTGGGAACGGTGTTCCTCCTCTGCCACAGCAGTCAATGTTTCAAGTGGCCTCATTATATTTTATTAGAGAAGGAGCTCGTTAAGAAACGTGCTCAACCTTCCCAGGAGTGCTGCAACGCTGGGTGTTGGGATTACTCAAGGAAGAGGAGGGTTTGGATTTGAGCATGGAGCTCGTTAAGAAACGTGCTCAACCTTCCTGGGAGTGCTGCAACGCTGGCTGTTGGGATGACTCAAGGAAGGAGGAGGGTTTGGATCTGAGCACCCTTGTTGTGTTGCCGCGGCCGGAGCCCCCGAGACCTTCAACTTCAGAGTTTAAAAAAGAAATGTTTTTAAAAATGAAATATTGCAAATTCTCTGTGAGCTTTGTGAAGTGCAACCAGGTTTTTGCCTCTTCCACTGTGAGCCCCCCCTCCAGGCGCTCCCTAAAGTGGTCTTTATCATCCCTCTGACCTTAATTGGCTCTGGATCCTTCCAATGTGCCAAGGAGCAGCCGGGATGGAGCTGGAAACCGGTGGCTTTCGAGACGGAGGCGCTGGGTTCAGAGCCACGCGGCCGACACTGGATGTCACCATTGCACAGCACAAACCCAGCCCAAGGTGCTCGGGGCTTCCTTCTCCCTGCTTGAGAGAGAGAGAAAACAAAAAAAAAAGCCTTATTTTACATTTTAGGTTTTTTTTTCTTAGAGTTACGATATCATTCAGGCTTTGTGCTGCTTCTGGCATCTCAGCAGGATGGGGATAATCCTCCTGAAGCCCATTAAAACCAGTTCTGCTCCGGTGGAGTCGCTGGGAGCTCTGCTCCGGGCAGAGCCGAGCGTGGAGTGAATTCCCCGGCGTTGGGGGGAAAAATGGGAGTTTAATTTAGTGACTTGGCAGGTGGATGGCAAAAGTCTTGGTTTGTTCTTAAACTGCGTATGTTGTTGTGTGTGAATTACTCCCTGATTTTTCTGCCTGGGAACCTCTGGCCACGTGTTTTCTGAAATAGCAGAGGGTGGGGGTGTAGGTTGTTAGTAAAAATTGAAATCTTCAGTGAAAATAGTGTGTGAAAGCATCTCTCTTCCCATCTATTAAAAAAAGATAATAATCAGGGGGTTTGATTTTATTTTAATTTGGCAGGGGGTTGAATTTGATGAGTTCTGAAGGTCCCTTCCAACCCCTATGAGTCTGTGATTTATTTATTTTTTGAAGTGCTCCTTACTGTTCGGTGCTTTAAGCTGGTTCCGGCGTGTCCCTAAAGCTGAGATGGAATTAAAGGGGCTGGAATAATGGGATTATCCTCCATCCCTGGGTAATGAAACCAGCCCTTCTCTCTCCTCTCGCCCACACAGAGCAGCGAAAGACGCGTATCGTGATGACCACCCTGCTCCTCACCGAGCAGATCACAAGGGAAGACCACGGCTCGGAGGGAAACTATGTCCTTTATGGCTCCTCCTGCTCCCAAATCACCGAGGAAGCCGAGTACGTGAGAAAGGTATTTCTGCAGCCACCACTCTTCTGTTCCTTCCTTTGCTCCAGCAGGAAAGGGAGGGAGGAAAACTCATGACTGAAGGAGAAACGGGTGACAACACACGCTTGGGAAACCTTTTTTGATTTGCACATGGGTTCCAGAAATGCTATTTACTCCCCAGCAATGATTTAATTATAGCATGTGCCACCTTAGGTTGGGTGAAAGCACTTAAAAACCAGTGAGGTTTTCTCACCCCTCGCTTAAGAGTGTTGCAAGAGTGCATGTCCCCACCCAAAGTCACCGCTCCTGGGTGGCAGAGATGTTTGATGTGAGGAGGAGGATGATGAAGGAGCCTGGCCCTGGGCAGTGTTGATGCTGGGAAGGGCTCTGAGATGCCGCAGAGATAAACGTGTCCACAGTGAAAGGGGTGGCTGGTAGCACAGCTGATGAGGAGATTGATGTTGGGCTAATGGTTGCCCTGGGTCCACCAAAGGTTTATCAGAAATTGTGGAAAAAGATGGGAAGCTGGAAAAGAGCAGGGATGAATGTGTGGTTGGAGCTTCTTTGCTTGCTTGGTTGGAGCTTCTTTGCTTGCTTTGCAGACAAAACCAGTGCCTAAGCAGTTAGAAAGGGCAGGATGGACACATTATACTTTAAAAACAATAGGAATAATGTGAGATATGATTCATTAAAGAAAAAAAAAATATATATATATGTATTTAAGGCTGCTGTTCCACCTGCTAGCCAGTTTGAACATCATGCTGGTACCTGAAAGTTTTTATGTGAAGCCATTTGTGATATGGCATGGATGCTGAGTTGAGCTGCACAGCTAGGCTTGGTCCTTGGAAGAGCCAAGGAAACTCTGGAGCAGTGAGAAGCTTTATATGAAGCAGAAATGTTGGTCTGGGGTACCTGGAGGACCAGTATCTCAGGGTGGAAGAATGACTTGTGGGTCAGGCAGATCCTGGGCCATGAAGATGCTGGGAGGGCTGGAGCCCCTCTGCTGGGAGATCAGGCTGAGAGAGTTGGGGGGTTCAGCCTGGAGAAGAGAAGGCTCCAGGGAGACCTCAGAGCCCCTTCCAGTCCCTCAGGGGGCTCCAGGAAAGCTGGGGAGGGACTCTGGATCAGGGAGGGTTTGACACTGAAAGTGGGGGGATTGAGATGAGATGTGGGGAAGAACTTGTTTGGTGTGAGGGTGGTGAGAGCCTGGCCCAGGTTGCCCAGAGAAGCTGTGGCTGCCCCATCCCTGGAGGGGTTCAAGGCCGAGTTGGATGGGGCTTGGAGCAACCTGGTCTGGTGGGAGGTGTCCCTGCCCAGGGCAGGGGGTGGCACTGGATGGTCTTTGAGGTCTCTTCCAACCCAAACCATTCTGTGATCCTGGAGGTGTCACTCAACAAAGCAAGGGCGCCTTGGAGATCACAATGTGCAGTAGTTTGAAATAGTTTTGAGTTGTTCCTTTCCTGAATTCCAGAGGAAATGCAGGAATAATAGAATTTAATGAATGGATTTAATTTGTTCTCGTCTGTAATGAGAGAAGACCACAAACTTTTGATTTAAGTGAAAAGAAATAAGATTTCTTCATTCCCTTTGTAATGACATTTATGAAGTTGCAGTTTCTTTCCGCATCCTGGAATGAGGTTGAAGAAAAGCCTCTGTAGTGAAAAGAAAAGTGATTTATGGTGTAAAACCCTTTTAAAAAGGTACAGAGTGCCCTTTGTTTGGGGTAGTTTATTTTTAACAAATGAACTTGGCGTAACGGACGCGGGGCCCTATACATGGCCAGCACGTTCTGCCAGAAATCGGAGCCGTTGTAGGTCGTGTTCCTTGCATGTCCCAGCTCTCAAACCTGAGCACCTCGGAGAGTTGGAGAAAAAATGGTTTAAGCAACTTAAAATCACTTTAAACACGTGGTTTTGTGCAAAGAGGCAGCCCCCGGGAAGCAAGGAGATTTGGAAATTGAAATTATTCAAACAGTTAAAATACACTGGAGCGAGGAGGAGTTCTTTTAAGGGGAAA